AGGCTTCAATAAACCTTAGTATACGCCCTTTTACATTTACTGACACATGAATGAAGGTTATAGTGGGGTCATGGGGAAATCCAGAAGTCGTTTAGATGTTTTCCTAACTCGTATTGCATGTAGATAAACAGGGAACGGAATTAACGTGACATACATTTAATAAAAAGTCCGAATCATGGTGGGAGATAACAGTAAGTGCAAATTGGACAGCAAATATTAGTAAAAATGGTAATCGCCAGTGTGACTAAAGTTTATAAGGTGAAGAAAACGTGATCACTTCATAAAAGGCTTATGCAGTAGGTATAGTATCCAGTATCAAGTAACATATTACGTACGATAATAAGACAGTGTCTAGCTAAGACCTGGATCGGTTGTTTGTGTACATGCAATACGTCTTTTCTAGTATCGACTAACAACGCATAAATATACACAATTTTGACTACAGCTTAAAGAGTGGAAAAATGTATGACTGCTGTATGAATAAATAACCACGACATGTTATTAAGCACCATAAACGTGGAAGAAAACTATTAAATGTGGTTATTAAACTCGCCTTTACATTCACCTCTATGCAATAATAATAATAATAATAATAATATATTTCTTAATGAGCAGGTAGACGCCAGCTCCGCCTGTAGCTCTTCTAGAGTCACTGCCAGTCCCAAGCCCGTTAAAGGAGGAGGGTTGGGCATGGGGTTGGCGACCCCAACATGTAGAAAACTAACTCGCTAAAAATACACTAACCAGAAAAAATTATTCAAACCATTTAAAATCTGCCCTGGGATTTAGAAGGTCTTCATTTAGAACAATTATGACGCTTCATGATGAAAGCCGAGTTCCTTAGGAAATTTTGAGGCCGATGCCCCCTCTAACAACAATTTTACAGATACATGGAACATCTGGACAATTTGGGAGACTGGGAAAAACAGTCAAATAGCAACGGAAATGAAGAGATACAACTTGGCAGTACTGGGAATCAGCGAAACACACTGAACCCAAGCTGGACAACAAAGGCTAAATAAGGGAGAGATGCTACTATACTCCGGTCACGAAGAGGAAAATGCTCCACACACTCAGGGAGTTGCTCCAATGCAGCATAAAGTAGCACGAAATGAACTTGAAGGATGGGAATCTCACCGATCCACAATCATCAAAGCATCCTTGAAAACAAAGAAGGAGGGGATCACGATTAATATTATCCAGAGTTATGCACCCACCAATGATAGCATCGACGACATTAAAGATCAATTCTATGAGAGGCTGCAATCAACCATAGAGAAGTGCCCAAGAAAGGATCTCACTATTCTGATGGGAGATCTAAATGCCAAAGTCGAAAAAGACAACACCGGATATGAAGATATTATGGGACGACATGGATTGAGTGGGAGAGAGAGAGACGGAAATGAAGAAAAATTTGCAAATGTGTGTGTATTCAACAAATTGGTCATAGGCAGCACATTATTTTCACACAAACGTATACACAAAGCTACATGGATCTCACCGGACCACACCACAGAGAACCAGATAGATCATATTTGCATCAACAAAAAATTCCGAAGGACAATGGAAGATGTGAGAACCAGTAGAGGAGCTGACATAGCTTCAGATCACCACCTAGTTGTGGCCAATTTAAAACTGAAGCTAAAGAAGAACTGGACAACTGGACAAACAGCACTACAAAGGTTCAATACAGCCTTCCTTCGAGATACTAACAAACTCAACGAATTCAAGATAGCTCTCAACAACAGGTCGCAAGCCTTACAAGATCTACTGAAAGAAGAAGAAACTACTATGGAGGACAACTGGAAAGGTATCAAAGAAGCATCAACTTCAACGTGTCAAGAGGTTCTGGGCCTAAAGAAATACCATCATAAGGAATGGATCTCTATAGAAACACTGGACACGATCAAAGAAAGAAAGAGCAAGAAAACAGCAATTAACAACAGCCGAACACGAGCAGAGAAAGTCCAGGCACAAGCTGAACACATAGAAGCAAACAAGCAAGTGAAGAAAAGTATTTGAGTCGACAAGCAGAAATACGTGGAAGAACTAGCAACGACGGCAGAAAAAGCTGCTAGAGAAGGAAATATGAAACAGCTTTACGATACAACGAAGAAACTATCAGGGAAATATAGAAAACCAGAGAGACCGGTCAAAGACAAAGAAGGCAGGCCAATCACTGAAATTCAACATCAGCGGAACAGATGGGTAGAGTAATTCGAGGAACTCCTGAATAGGTCGGCTCCAATGAATCCATCGGACATCGAAGCAGCACATACAGATCTTTCTATAGATGTCAATCCACCAACGACGCAAGAAATCAGAATGGCCATCAGACAAATCAAGAACGGGAAAGCAGCACGACCCGACAACATACCAGCTGAAGCACTGAAGTCAGAAATCGAAGTAACTACCAACATGCTTCACCTTCAATTCATGAAGGTATGGGAGGGGGGAAAAGTGCCAACGAACTGGAAAGAAGGATACCTCATCAAGATTTCAAAGAAAGGAGATCTGAGCAAATGTGAAAACTACAGAGGCATTACACTACTGTCACTACCAGCGAAGGACTTAAACAGAGATTGTAAAATGTGATCGATAGACGAACCCACCACTGATAAAGTGAAACGCTCACCACCACATTAACTCCCTTTGACCTTGTGCGACCGTATCTCTCTATTAACCGATCTCAGTTTGATGTTCTTTGTAAAGCAATATTTGCTTTGTTGGCTCATTTTTCCTATTCTCTGGCTACTGTTCGGTATGTTATTTGTCTCTGTTTTTCCCTGTATTAATAGACCGTACTGTTTGTTTGTACACTGACGATGTTAATTTATGTTTTAGAAACAGATAAAGTTTATCTAACCAAATAGCTTGCTTGTTCTGACTTAGGCCAAACCAAGACACTGTATTCGACGGTCTAGGGAATAGCTCAGAATTAAACATGTAGGAAATTGCTTCCTACACTCTTGCTGAACCGGATGAATGACGCAGTAGACGCCCAACTTCCTGTTAAGCAAGCTGGATTCCGTAAGGATCGGTTGTGCACAGAACAAATCATGGCACTACGGATTATCGTCGAACAATCAGTTGAGTGGAACTCGTCACTATACATCAACTTCATTGATTATGAAAAGACGTTTTGGACAGTGTAGATGGGAGAACATTATGGAAACGTCTTCGGCAATACGGAGTTCCTGAGAAGATTGTCAACATTATCTGGAACTTATACGACGGACTACAGTGCAAAGTCGTGCATGGAGGACAGCTAACAGATGCATTCAAGTAAGGACAGGAGTCATACAAGTCTGTTTACTCCCTCCCTTCCTCTTTCTTCGGGTGGTCGACTGAATTATGAAGACCCCGATATCTGGGAGAAAACATGGTGTAGCGGCAAATAAATACCCAAAATAAATGGCTCTGTAAATTTTCGACATTGGATGCTGACCAGATTAGTTTTAGTAGACTCACCTAGCTGAAGGCGCTCGGTCATGCATCCGCACCAGATCACGTGTGAGAACGCCGTGCTCACCATCTACTGCAATCGCTAGCCAGACTAGATCAGACGATTCCGATATATTGGCAATCGTCAAATACAATTTCTGATCTCCTCAATTATAATAGGTGTTACTGGTAAAAGCGTTGTCAAACACTGAATACCTGTGCCATCTTCATTGGTGAGCCCGACGTGATCTGGCACACCAAATCGTAAACTGTGAGCCTGTTCCTTTTTGGGATTTTTTATATATTATTGAGATTGCAAAGGCCGCGTTCCTACAGTTGAAGAACATATGGAACTCAAAGCAACTTTCAACCAATATCAAAGTGAGAATCTTCAGTACGAACGTCAGGACAGTTCTGCTGTATGAGGCTGAAACTTGGAGAACTACTACAACCATCATCAAAAATGTCCAAGTATTTATAAACAGTTGTCTACGCAAGGTACTCAATGTCGATTGACTGTATACCATCAGTAAGAAACTGCTATAGGAGTGAGCAAAACAACTTTCAGGTGAAGAGGGAATTAGGAGATTTCGGAAGTGGGTAGACCATACATTGCTGAAAACACCAAACTAAATAACGAGGCATCTCCTAACTTGGAATAGTGAAGGGAGACAGAAAAGAGAAGGACCAAAGAACACATAGAGTCGAGGATTGGAAACAGCTATTAAAAGGATGAATGCCAATTGGGAACAACTGTGGGGAATTTTCCAGGACGTTTTTGCGGAGAATGCTAGTGGGTAGTCTATGCTCCTCCACGAGAGGCATTCAGCGTATGTCGTCAGAAGTTCGCATCTGAGACGTAAATACTATAATTGGTAAAGGTTTAGTGATTCGAGGCGCTAATCAAGTGTCTTGAATGTGAGTACCGAAACTGATTTCGTGTCTCACCTTTAGATGCGTTCCTGCGTAATCTTATCCCTTCGCAGTGAGGAAGGGGTCGAGTAAAACTACTGAAGAAAGTCTGTTTTTATTTACCAAACTTTTAAGTCGAGTCAGATCATCGTGAAGTGTCAGCTTAGAATCTTGGTTTTGAACTTATTTCTAAAGTTTAAGATCGTTCACAGAAAGTAATAACTCAGAAGATAATTGCTGAGGAAGATCGTTTGTATAAACTAAAAAGAGAAGAGGCTGTAGTGTTGAACTCACAAGACATGACGTAGCTTAGGGAAAAATGAAGTTTACCCTGACATGAAAAGCCGATTAATTGAATGTGAGTAAGTCAATCCACCAGTAGGATTAGTAAACAGATTATATACCATTTTCAACAACTTGGATACAGATTATGATGAACTAAATGTACGGTTCTTTCATTCAACAAAGTTGTATAAAAAGATTAGATGTTTGTGAAAAACAATAATCAAATACAGATGTAAACCTTATCATTTTCCAAGAACTTTTAAAATAATAACTTGATAGTTCTCTCCACATAAAATCGACTCTTATTAATGCATGTGCGCCTTGTTTTGTTGTGTCATTTTGCTAAATGGCAGCGTTTTAGAGGTATCGGATTTTGATATATCGGTGGGTGGTTGTGGTCTGGTTTTGAAAGTAATAACGTAAGCGGGCTAGTTTTAGTCCTTACATAAGTTCTATGTCGATAAGGTTGTTATTAAATTCCAGAAATATGTACGATAAGGGATATTTACTTCAGAGTTGTTTCTTCAAATTTCACTCAAATCTCTGGCTTAAGATATATCTGTTTCTTTGTTGGCTTTTTGTCATGATTTTAATTTATAGTCTTTGCAGCGTTTTTAAACTGGTCACATTTTTTTGTTGCTGTTTTCTGTATTTTGTATCTGTCAATGGTTTTCAATTTCTATCCAGCACCCCATCAACCAGTAATGGGACCTTTGAGATAATAAAGAGGGAAAGTCTATTTTCCACTTGGGAAGTAAATTTTGTCGATATATCCCCTTTTCACCCCCAAGTGGTAAACAATTTGAGTAGCGTCTCTGGATAGTGGAAATTTGTTGGCAAACTGGCGAAATACGTCTCGCGCTTAAGAACTCCGTCTTGTAGGATTAAGGAAACATGACAATTCATTGTGTTAACTTACCGTTGATATTACTTAATGAGTAATATCGGGACACCAACCGAGTGGTGTGTTGTCAATGGTTTATCTTCAATCATTAGAATAGGGCTTTAGTTCGTTAGATCACACGTCTACCGTGATTTTTTCCGTAAAGTCTTTTTGAAGACTGGCAAGATGGGTATTTATTTTTGTTTCTGTTTAAATGTTTGTGCGGATCTGTGTGGCAAGGCGCAACACCCGAATCAATTAGTTAAAATTTCACGACCACTACAAATCTTACTAATTTCCTGTCACACTATTGTAGTACACGGTCTTGGGCTAACTTACGCTTATATCAGGCTCTACGTTGATTATGACTAACGAGACCTTTAGTAAGTATCCAGATGTGTCGTTCCTTGGTTTTGGCGGTTGTATTCGCTTCCCAAATATAATATTGAGCTAAAGTACACGGCGACACTCGTCGAGGTGATAAATATTAAAACGTCAGATGTCTCATAATAACCGATGAAGTGGTCGTTCATTCTCAATCCAGGAGATTAGATCGATAGGCAGATCACTCTAAGGAATAGTTCAACTGGCTCACAGTTACCCACTATTCCCGAACAATCTAAGCTAAAAGTTGACCTGTCCCCCATATCTCTATGAAGTCAAAAAGGCTATAGGCAATCTTAACAATGGGAGAACAGCGGAACCTGATTAATTAAGCCCGAAAACACTCGAGGGTTGTGGTCCGGTCTTATAAGCTAAGTTCACTGGTACTGGCTAGAGTTCGACAGATGAACGTAATTCTATTTTTCTGGTTTCGACCGCTAATCGCCTGTTTATGAGAAATGATGCATATCCTCTAGTGATAACCACAAGATAATCAGTTTGACTAATTGTTCGAAATATTAGCCTCGATAATCATCCGACGTCTAACCGGGGTTCGCAAAAAGCAGACCACTGTAAACAAGGCTGGCTGGTTTTGAACCTGGTTGTGGCTATGAAACATGGTCTACAAAAGTAGAACACATGCCTAGGCTCAAGGTTTTCGTACATAAGTGTCTTTGAAGCATTTCTCACGTTACGTGTACTAACCGAGTGAGCAATGCTGGGATGAGTCCTAGAGTACTAGGTAAAGATGGTGGGCTGATTGAAGTAGCGAATCTTCGACTAATTGGAATATGTAGTACGTGTGTCCAACCACCGCCTTTCTCGAAGAGCATTGTTGTTTAGTGTAGGAGTGTGGTAGAAGGCTAGTGGTGGCCTAACGAAGACGAGACGTCAGTCCATTAGGTCACCGGCCGTTGAACTGAGCCTTGTTTAGGTAGGGGTAAACCTTCTGGTTGGGGTCCGTGTAATAGCTCTAATCAGCGATTAGAGACTCGTGACACGGCTAAAAACTATTCACAACGATTCAGATTCACCCATTCTTGAGTTCCATTATTCCCTCATAAATATCTTTCTTTGTGCCTTTTCAAACCATATTCCCGATGTTTAGCGTTTCTCACTCAGTCAGTCTAGTCAGTAACAACGTAGAACTTCGTACGTACGTACATCAGTTCGAGTTGCCACACCACATTACCACAAAGATACAACTGTCGATTCAAATCCCGTAGTGGTAGAGGTAGTAAGAGTATAAGCAGTAATCGGGAAGATTAGGGTTTGGAGATGTTATTTAAAGAGTATAATCCAGTGAAATAAATTTGGGAAGAGAAAAAAAGACAAGGAGGGATAAGGAGAACAAAATTTGGGAGAACACAAAGAGTAGATGCACCTGCGCCATTGCAAACGATTTTGAGCCATGTCATTCAGGGTCTCTAACCAGTTGTGTTCGAGTAGAGAGCCTTTATAAGGTTAATGTACTTCTCTGGTACTCCTTTCAGTGACAAACACTGCCATAGAACCTCACGATCAACAGAGTCGAATGCTGCTTTAAGGTCGAGAAATACTACCATTGTGGGGGTCTGAATGTGTGTCTGTGTTCTAGAACCTGACGTAGTGTGAATATCTGATCTATACAACCACGTCCAGGTCGAAAACCGGCCTGGTTTTCTCTAATCTGCTCTTCACGAGCTTTGATTAGGCGTCGAAGTATTATTGAAGCTAATATTTTAGACACTATATTAGTCAAACTGATTCCTCTGTTATTGTCACAAGAGGAGTTTTGTCCTTTCTTATAGACTGGCACAATCAGTGACTCAGACCAGTCAGATGGGATTACGTCCGAATCCCAAATTCTACCTAAGACCTCAGTTAATCTCATTGCTAATACTGGACCACCATCCTTAAAAATCTCAGGAGTAAACCTGTCAGGGCCTGTTCCTCTCCCTCGTTTCAGATTTCCTATGGCTTTTTCAACTTTGTAAAGAGTCGGAGGACCTACATTAACTTGCCATTAAGGTTGACTGGAGATCGTGGGAAACCGAAGTGTGACTGAAGGCCAGTTGAACTGATCCCTAAAGTGTTCTGCCCATCGATCCAATCTCCTGGATTGAGAATGTATAATATATCCATCTTTCTCTGAGATTGTTTTTCACTATCATTGCTACTACGTTATTCCTATATCTTCTAAAATTCGTCTTATTTATTTCATTTTGTGCTAATGGGTTGTGACAAAAGCACTTACATATCAGGCTCGACGTTGATGACATATCTATCAGTCGTCTGATTTGGTAATCGTGTACCACGTAATGCACGGTAGTATTTTCTGAGTCTATTCCCCAGTCTAAGTATGTTTAAATTCATTATATGCAATGAATTATTAACCACATAAATCATACGTCTAAGCCCATTTTATTCCTGTGTAAGCGGCTTGTATCGCCTAGCGTGTAAACCAACCTAACATAGACGTATATTGATTGTAGTAAGTCTCATGGTTTATTATTTATTTTCCAGACAGGTCACTTTAGCAAGAGATCCCAGTCTGATAACCTTTTTAACCCGCCCATAAGTTTAGGTGGTTTGCATCTGACACCGTGAAGTATTTCATCCAGAAATTGGTAAGTAAAGGTTCTTAGAATGTGAATTTTAAAAACTAGGAACACTAAATAGGCATGTGTTTTAGTAGTCTGACCTATGACCTATCAGTTAAATGTAAAAGTTTCCCATAGGGACAATAAACCAAAATGACTTTCGCCACTGTGATTTCGAAAATATGTCTTGATTGAGATAAAGTTGATATTGTAAAGATTTTCACTGTATGATGTGGTTATCAATTGGTGATCTTGGTGCTTGGTCATCTAAGTCATTATTGGCCCAAATCATGACCAAGGCATTCATGTAGTTTATCGTTAATAGCAGCAAGTGTAGGTTACAACAAGCTATTTGAGTGTATTTATTCAGTCTTCAACATAAGCTTGTAGGTCCTTGGAAGAACTATGGCCACCTTTATGAAACATCCAAACTACTTACGGTTAATTGTATGTCGAGTTAAACTGTCGCGTCACATCAGACTAAAGTGGGCGAAACAAGATTTTAACTTGCGAACCAATGGTTGAAATTTAACTGCTTTAACGATTAAACTCTGCTTTATGACACCGAATTCCTCAATGCACAAACATTTTTGGTTGAAAACTGACATTCTACGAAGGTCGTCCATTTTCACTGGTTATATTTCTCAGGTGTATAGCAAAATGGTACATACTACTCTCCGTTTGATGGACAGTCAGTCAAATATGGTGCTAATTAATAAAAGACAAGCGAGATTTTCGTATGTGCCAAGATTTTGTCAGTAATTGAAGCACCAGGGATGATTAGACCTTCAAGATGATTATTTCACTCACAACGGTCAAACTGGGCATTGATACTGACCAATTTTAAAGTTTTTGTATATAGGAAAAAAGACTCCAAGGGTTATTACTTTGTTACTCAAGGCATTTAGTTGACTGCGTTCTTAGTATTGAACAGGGCTGCTGTCTCCATATACTAGGTCGATAAGAGAACCACCTGGGGAGAGATCATCGTACAATCTATTATGGTCGCAGTTAATTCTCATCTTAGTACATAGACAACATAAATTATGTCTACAATAATTTAGTTCTGAACGTTAAGGTATTTTTAATGGTAAGGTTATCCGTGTGAATTTACGCTTATTTGTGGTAAGTACAATGTTCCTTCATTCCGGTTGAGATCAAGATTAGTTTTGTCTAACATCTGATCATATTGTTTCTTCAAATTAATGTCTATGCTCTGCTCTTAAAACCTCGCAACCCATCGAAAAGTTTGTGTCCAAGTAAGCAACATAATGGTCCGTTCCACGTAATCATCAGGTTTAATGTAGACAACAAAATGTAACTGTTATATCCGAGTGAAGATTAATTTACGGGTAACTTCCGAGGACTATTAATGGACTAATATTCTTATTGTATAACTATTCAATAATTATTCTGTTAAGTCTAATGGTGTCTTTGGACTTTAAATGGACATTTCCTATTGGTCAATATTTATTTCACTTGTCAAATATTGTACAAATGTTGTTTTCTATTTTATGGTACGATGTGGTCTGCTTGATTGGTATATAAACAGAGTATGTTTGAAATACATGATTCGATTCATATTGCGGAAGCTGGTATTGTGTTTTGGACTCAAGTAGGCGGGCTAGAAGGACCTAGGACCAATAAGGCGCTAGACTGCCCACACCGGTTGAACGTTATTGGTTGGCCTAGTGTGAAGATTCGTATAAGTCGTATTCGGATTGGTGGATAATTCGTGTGATAGAAAAGCCAGACATCGAAGGTCATAACAGTACCAGAAATTTATCCCAGTATATCATAGCCCTTTCCTCAAATGTTAACTAATCCATCTCTTAGCACTAAATTTTCAAACAGAATTTAAAGTATGTTTACTAGCTAACATAATTTTCATTGTTAATTAATTTTAATGTTTTGACTCGTTCTAGATATGGGATCTTCTGAAGCCAGCACACGTCGTCGAGTAAAGTTGTACATGTTGAATGATGAACGACAATGGGATGATAAGGGCACTGGTCACGTGTCAGCATTGTATACTGAGCAGGAGAACATGGCCCTAGTAGTAATTTCAGAGACAGATGGGTCTTATCTTCTTGAGTCAAAAATACAGCCAGATACAGCGTATCAAAAGCAGCAAGAAACACTAATTGTCTGGTCAGAAGGTGAAAATATGGATTTAGCTCTATCTTTCCAAGAAAAGGTTGGTTGTGATGATGTATGGGAAAAAATTTGTGCTGTACAGGGAAAGGATCCATCGGTAGAGATTACTCAAGAGGTTGTTGACGAGTCAGATGATGTTGATGACACAGATGGGTATACACCGACAATGATGCAAAGTATTCAACCTCTTAGTCTTCCACCTTGTGAACTGAGCCGTCTTGAAGAAGTTGTTGACCTAGTTAGTCAAGCTGTCGCATCACCTCCGAAACGCGAGCGATTGGTGGCCTTTTTAGAGTCAACTAATTATCTCCATCAGTTAGTCGATGTCTTTCACAAGGCAGAAGATCTGGAAGATATGGAATCGTTGCATCATCTTTACGAAATAATGCGACAACTTATATTGGTAAACAAACATAGCCTTTATGAAAGTTTATTCGCTGATGATATGCTGTTGGATGTGATTGGTATTTTGGAATACAATCCTTCTGGGCGCACTAAACATCGTGATTTTCTCAGAAATAAGGCTACTTTCAAAGAAGTTTTGCCTTTGCATAATACAGATTTAGTGACAAAAATACATCAAACATATCGCGTTCAGTACATACAAGACTGCTGTCTCCCACCTCCTTGTCTATTCGACGAACACACTCTTTCCCAACTTAAAGCATTTGTTTCTATAAACAAGATGGAGATTATTCGGGCTCTTCAAGAAGATGAAGAGTTTATGTGCCGACTTTTTACACGTTTGAAAGCGGCGGATACAGACCTAACTCATCGCAGAGACCTATCGCTCTTTGTAAAGGAATTTTGTAATATTTCCATCCAAACAGATCAGAAAGAAAGTTTTCTCAGTTGTTTACTTCAACATGGAGCACTAAGAACAGCTGAAGTACTCCTCGCAATTGATGATCGAGATATAAAGTCAGCGGCTCTCGAGATTCTCCAGGCATTTATTGAGCACCAGCCCTCTGTTGTGCGTGAATATGTCTTCAGAGAAACTGCTCCGTTCCGAAAAGACGATGAATTACTCATTAATCTTATGATAAGTCAATTACTCACTGATCCAGATCCAGGTAGGTTTGTCTATAGATTAATATTCAAGACACTTTTTGTAGAACTTAGTGATGCTTTCCTTTTGGGTTACATGTTGCGCATTCTTATCGATCCAGACAATATGAACAATTCCGGTGTCGTAAGTCACTTTTTACCATGTATATTTATGCATGTATTTGATTAGGTCATCAAATTACTGTCTAGATTAGAATTCCCAGTAGTCTAACCTATAAGATCTCATCTACTTTGGTTATCATTATTTTTCTTAGGTTCCATTAACCTATGGGTCCTACTTGGGATACTCTTATTCTGTTTACCACTGGTCCTTAATCACTAAATTATTCCCTCATCTTAGTCGTTCATTTCGTTTATACTGTATTTTGATTGAGTGGTTACATCAGTAATTAAGTCATATAGTCGTATCTCATTAGGGTACATTGATTCAACAACACGAATAAGTATGTCACACCTCAATCAAGCAAGGTACACCACTGGTCGAGTTTAAGCTAGAAGTTAAATAAAATAAATATACTTTACTAGAAGCTTACTGCATCAGTATGAATAGTATTTTTGCCTGTTATTTCGCTTTTAACAAAGTTGTGTTTCTGACTCCTAGCCAATACTTTATTGTTCTGTTACATGCTGATACACAACTGAAAAAGTTGTCGAAAGACTCATAGCTAGCAGATTGTAAGTTTTCTTACATTATGTAGATTATGTCTTACAGGAAGTATCTTTGCAAGATAGCTTGATTTATAGTAAGTTATATAGTATAAGCATTGTGTGAAAAACACCTAAATTTCTTGCTTTTTTCCCACCTCGTTTTCATCTGACTTATAAAAGTGCTGTTCCTCGCAGACACATGGTACCCTAGTTTGCCATCTATATTAACTAGGGGTGATTTATTTATTTGAACACAAATATTGGTACGAGAGGGCACCAAATATATATGCGCCACACAAAACAATGAGAATTTGGAGAGAAGGAAAAGGTAAGGAGCGCAAAAGAAAAAGAGAACAATAACGAAGAGATTGGTGTAAGGTAGTGTTGTAGTAATGAGGGAACGGAAAGGTACAATCGGAAGAAATCTTTCAGGTGAGGGAGACACAACCACTATTTATGAAGAAAGTAAAAGAAGGTTGCAGCAGGATCGCCACTGGCTTCTATTCTGAGCCATATCTGATAACGTCGTCTCTAGCCACTGTGTAGCACCATCCCTCAGACCCCAGCCAGGGAGTCGTGAAGAACCAACAGAAGCCAGTCCTTTGTAGCTTTCTTTCATACCACGACAACATGTCATACACTGACCACCTCTCCGCTTTTTCCAACCTATCCCAGAGTCGGCAAATAATGCACGACGTGGAATTCTCTGGGACGACATTCGTAGAACATGTCCAAGCCATCGAAGTCAATGTTTCAAGATGGTGACACCAATTGAATTATCGTCTCTGCACCCGAACACACGATGCCGAACCTCTGCATTACTGACATGGTTTTGCCACTGAATGTCAGCAATCCTTCGAAGACAACGATGATCGAACACAGAGAGTCGTCTAACATCCTCAACTCGGAGAGGCCAAGTTTCACAAGCATAGAGCAAAACTGCTCTCACCGACGCGTTGTAGATCCGATCTTTTACAGTCAGACTAACATCACGAAGGCGCCAAAGGTGGCCCAGATTGGCACAAACCGCTCTGGCTTTCACTATACGTGCATTGATCTCATCACACAGCCCCACCAGCACTTATGCAGCTACCCAGATACATGAACTTCTCAACTACGTCTATCTGCTCACCATCCAGGGTGAGTACAGGATTGGAATCCTGCCAGTCTTGTAGAAGTACTTTGCACTTCGAAGGTGCAAGGCACATACCGTACCTACGGACATTGATTGCCAACTGATTAAGTGCAGATTGCATGCCTTGGGCATTATCGCACAGTGAGACAATATCGTCCGCATACTCAAGGTCGAGAAGTCTTTCTCCAGGCAACAGATCCACACCGCCAATACTTACATCCATCAGAGCTGTTTTCAGAATGTTATCGATGGCGAAATTGAAGAGGGATGGTGAGATTGGGCAACCCTGCCTAACCCCACTGCTTGAATGGAACAATGGAGAGAGGTGGTTGTATGCCCTCACTCTGCCTGAGGTGTTTGTATATAGGGCTTTTAGGATGTTAATAAACTTCTCAGGCACACCCTTCTTCAATAGATAATCCCAGAGAACAGTCCTGTCCAACGAATCGAAGGCAACCCTGATGTCAAGAAACACCACGATTGTTGGCCTTTGATAAGTATGGCGGTGTTCTAAGATTTGGCGGAGGGTGAAGATATGATCAATACATCCTCGACCAGAACGAAAACCAACCAGCTCCTCGCGAGTCAATCTTTCTCGAGTTTTCAACAACCCACGAAGTATGATGGAAGCCAATAACTTGGACGCAATCGGAAGTAGACTTATCCCTCGATATTTGTTACAGGAACGACGTGAACCCTTTTTAAAGATAGGGACAACTATCGACTCATTCCATGACGTTGGTACACTCTCTAGTTCCCAAACCTTTGTAAACAACGTCGTCAATTCCTTAGTCAAAAAGTCACCACCATCTTTAAAAAGAGCCGGAGGTAAGTCATCTGGGCCAGGTGATTTGTATCGCTTCAAGCGTTGGAGTTCCTTGCGGACTTCCTCCTCGTTTGGTGGATCAGTCGTCACCGGCCATGGAGGGCAGGACAGTCTGACCGATGTTGCCGGAGCAGCAGGCCAGTTGAGCTGCCCTTCAAAGAACTCTGCTCATCGTCCAAGACGTCGATGGATGCTAGTGATTGGTATCCCGTCATCCTCACGGATTGTTTCGTTCAAATCAGATTTCTTGCTGCCAGTGGCTCAGATGGCCCCCAAATGCCCTGGTACGGCCGAGGGTGGGTCGGGCCCGCCCTCCCTCTCGAAAGGCTGTCACACGGTCACGTGTATACCGCCTTTGTCGGGGAACTCCTACTCATTGCCTTCTCGTGGCGGGGATGTTGTTTACGAAATTGAGAGTACGAAAGGCGAATGTCCGGCGCTTTAACCGGATTCCAAACCAATGGTGCACATGGGCTCCAGTACCCTGAAGGAATAAATGGCGTATGAACCAATCGTTGGTCACCGGCTACCATCTGACTGCATCTCCTTACGATGCTCTACTAGCTTGTGAATCAGACCTTTAGGTCAAAGGCTCGGGGAGTGGTCCCCTAAGAAAACCACCTGCTTCGGTTTGGGCACCCTGGCAGTATCATAGCCCTCACACATACCGAATGAGATTTGTGTGGCGCATATGTATTTGTTGCATCCTTGTACCAATATCTATGTGTTAAATAAAGTGGCTCAGATGAATTGGAAGAGCTTCCAGTAGTTACCAGATACAGCTTCTTCTTCCAGCTCATTAGCACGCTCCGACCACCAGACTTCTCGGTCCTTAAGCAAGCTTTGCCCGATTTCATTACGTAACAGCCTTCGTTTGTGGTCAAACTCACGGTCACCCAGAGTAGATCGACTGGCTTCAATGAGTTGTAAGGAACCAGTAGAAACCCAGTGCTTATAAGCAGGACGTTTCGCGAAGCCGCAAGCGCCTTTACTTGCCATTTCCATGGCGTCATGAAGTTGCAACCAATGCTCATCTATACTTTTCGGTAAAAATGGTAGCTAGCCTAGAAGCTAGCTCGGTTCGGTACTTACTAGCAACAGAAGTTGCAACCAGCTTGCTAATATCAATCCGTTGGTGGTAGTCACTTCGTTGGCCACTGAAAAGTGAGGTAAGAATGGCGCAGAGCAGGGCATGGTCAGAGTCCAGATAGGTACTCCAAAAGGAGTGGCAGTCTTGTACACAACCACGCCAGCGGTAGCTGATCGCGATGTGATCAATTTGAGTCCAGGCTTGAGATGCAGAGGGAGGACTCCAGGTGGAACTTCGGCGACGACTGTGCCGAAAGTTAGTGCTAGTCAGAAACAGGTTGTGGTCTATGCACAGTTGCAGTAGAGGGTCCCCGTCCCCGTTATTTATCCTTTTATGAATCCGGTGTCCATCTTGTTGTGTTAATGAGTTATGACAACTTGGACCGATGTATATATGTGCCTGGTCATACGTTGCAGCTGACTGACTGATTGACAGTTGCAGTAGACGGTCCCCGTCCCTGTTATCTGTCCTGCGACCAACAAGTCCCCATCGGTCACCTAAACGACTCTCTTCTGTACCTAGACGCCCGACCTGAGCATTCAAGTCTCCGGCTAGTACTACAATATCTGTCGAACGCATTTTCTAGAGCAGAACAGTTAACTAGTGGTAGAATTCATCCTTGATTACATCCGGGCTGCCATCTGTCGGGGCATAGGTGGAGATGACGAAAAGACATCGTTTCTCACGCCGATTTCTTCTCACTTTGATGGGACTTTCTGATCTAACAGCACATAACCGACCGTTAATGGGGATCCAATCGATTAGTACTGCCTCAGCTCTAGCGCTTAGTGCGACACCAACGCCAGCAAGACCATACGAAGATGCCACAGAATCCCCGGATGAACGCACGTAAAACAAGCTTTTCAAAGCGACAGATGGAGAGCGAATTTGTAGTACTTCACCGGAGTCTTGAATACGGGTCTCGGATAGACAACAAATGTCGATATTAAGACTTTCCAAAGACATAACCAGCCCTATTCGTTGTCTGACCTGCATAAATGCGCGAACGTTGAAGGCAGCCAGTTTGAATGGTGCACGTTGTTTCAGAAAAACTGCTTCAGTTTTCGTATTTGTTGGTAGCATGCAATTTTCAACCAGGCAGTGACTCGAGAACGTTTAGATAAAACCGAGTTTCCACCATAGGCGAGCTGCTGTATAAGTCGAAAACATAAGTATACATAGAGTAGGAATAAAAGAGGGTGAATAATGACGTAGTAAATAATAATAATAATAATAATAATAATAATAATAATAATAATAATAATAATAATAATAATAATAATGTGAATCGTTTGATTGTTAATCGAAGCAAGAAAAGTATTTCTATAATTATCGACAGTTCATCATATTTGTGTATGGGCTGTGATACTGCCCGAGTGCCCAGACCGAAGCAGGTGGTTTACTTAGGGTGTCAAATCCGGAATC